TATAAAGTATACCCACTACCTAACTGGCTTAAAATAAAACTATTGAACATATTCCACCTGTGTAATAATAAAATTGTAAAATACTAATAAGAGTAAATTTACGAATTTTTGCTTACAGTTAATTTTATTGAAAAATAATCATGATAATAAAAAAATAATGAAGAAGAACATCTATACCAACATGTCCACAATTTACATTTATTTTTTAACTAACTTTGTGTTCTTCAGAATTTTAGAAACCTTAACAAAGTTACAAGTAAAAAATTACAAAAAACAGTATAACTTTATGATTTTTTATGAAAAAACTTTCAAAATTAGGCACACCACACTGTTCTGAATTTTAAATATAAACACTTACATGAGGTATTGACAATACTGTTTCGAAGAAAAGAACGGCTACACAAAGCACAGTCCAGTTAATAAGAATGAATCGTTCCATAGTTCTACACAGTTTCCAGAAAATCCAAGGGTTTTATAGGATGTAGTCTGCGTCATTATCACTAGGAGGTCTTAACGATAACAACCCCTGTAGTTTTGTAAATCCCTTAAACTAATTTATTCACGTAAAAACACCCTTCGTGTTATTGCAAAATCCTTCAAGTTTATTACTTTGACTTAGTTTAATACAACTAGTAAGATTTCAAAATAAAAATATTACACAAATCCCACTTGTAGATATAAAATGTTTTTTTTTCTAATAAATATTATTTACTTGATGTGACAGTTCTCCAGAAATTAACTCATATCTTTCCCATCAACGCCAAGGGGCCCTATAGTGTTTTAAAGTGGCCCTTGGCGTCTGTCTGTACTATACATAATGGTATACATATGGATTTAGATGAAAAGAATTGACTTGGCGTTAGAAATATCATGTTTCGAGTAGGCAATGGGTACGTGAAGTGACAATCTGTCACTTGTTGTCAAAATGAGGTAACACGTCGAGATCTATGAACACTTTAAAGAGAAAATACATTTTTCAATAAAAATTTGGTTAGCCAAAGCTCTAAACCTATAAGTAGTGACTACTGAAAATTTAAGTTCATTTAGTTGATTACATGGTATCTGTTTTGTGTCGAGATACGAAGCGTGACGTTAGTGAAGAGAGAGGGAAAGTGCCCGCTATGATCAGCTTCCGATTCAAATACTTAAAGCTTATATTAGATACATGAAGTTACCTTTGTATATACATACACTCTTCTAGAGTTTATAACACCACATGTATATGAATTAAACACACAATCACATCTCGGCGTATACCTATCTAATTTCAGAATTTACTGATATTAAAAATATCAGTAACAATGTTTGTAATTTATTTGTAGATTTATTCAGGGAAATAATTCGAAGCACTTGATAGATTAATAAGTTTATTTGGTTAGTCATATTTTTGTGAAAAAATATTTTAATCCGATTAATTGTCTGTAGAAAACAACAATATCTACCCTTGCTACTAATAAAGCTTTTATGCTTTTTGCAAGAATAAGATAAGGAAATGAATGTAAAGTTAGTTGGTTTAAAATAGCTTTTATCAGACTTTTTCAAGTGGGGCTCTATTAATGTGGGAAAAGTTTCTAGACATGTGTGTAATAGGCGCCAGACGAGTCTCAGTGGTCAATGCTTCAAAAATTGAACACACTTTTACTTTTTTATAATTTTTTACTTTTTCCGTGAGTGTTTAATCCTTAGCTTATTAAAAAAATATAATAAAATTTATATAATTTTAAGTAGGTCTATATATGAAACAAAATTATAGGTAGATAATGTTTATTCTCCCGTGTAAAGCAAATCACAAACCCACCTACTTGGTATAATTTACAATAATCTTTGTTTTCAAATTCCCTATCATAATTATTAATTCTTACATGAGTTTAAAATTAAAAGTTTTAGCAGTTTTTTTGAGTTGTGCCCTTTAGAAAATTTGAAAAGAGCACCAGTGAAATTAGAGCGGATAATTCAATAATCGTGGATTATGTGTATTTAATAAAATTATGGGAGGATCTGCTGTAGGATCCACCCTACTAGCAAGGGCTGAGCAATAAGCTTTCATCAGAAGCGATGCTCCGCCTTTATGATTAAATTAGTAACAAAATAACAGCGGAAAGCTTTCAGTATATGATTGCCTGAGGCTAGCTACCAGTGACAAACAGTTAATTGAGTAGTTTATAAAACATTTCATCAATAGTAGATATAATAATCAAGTTGAAAAAAAATGTCATACAATAATTCGACACCACATTCGGAAATTTTTCATTATGGATATTCTACAAACACCTCCACGTATCACTATATACAAGGTATTTTTTGCATGATAGTAGAAAAATATTTGCTAAACAGTATTATGTAAAAGCATGTAAGATTTCACATTGAGTCATTGGATGAAATTATATACGAAAGACTGAAACTTTAACTAGAAATTTAATCATAATTTTTATAAAAAATTGTAGTAAATAAACAACTATTTTATAGTGTTTTTTTAAGTACTTATAATATAGTGAACGTTGCACATTATCATCATTCTTTAATACGTATGTAAAATTATTTTATTCTCTATTTATACATATATTTACAAGATTGTATAGGTATATTGTAATTATTGTATAGGTAAATATTATGTTTAAATGTTACTTTATATATCTAAAGATGAAACATTTGTCGCACAAATGTAGCACATCTTATAAAATTCTAAAGAAAATAAACATGAGATGTCAACTTTTCGAAATTACTACCATTATTTAGTGTTACAGTAAATCGAGTATCTTGTTAACTACACGTACCTACATTTTACATTCATATTCCATACCTACGCAATAAAGTACGTAATAATCACTTATATGATGTTCATATAGTTTATCTCTCGGTTTATCTTTTTCCAGCGAAAGATTTAACTTTTCTTTTTAAATACGCCAAAGCATTAATATTAGAAAAAATAAATAAAAAGGTTGTGTCTGGTATCACCGAAATTTCATATCAATATAACATGTGTTATAATTGTTCTGTTTATTTGTGATGATTTTATTGTTTCTTGGACTGGGTGTTTCCTATCTTTTTACAGGAAATTTGGAGTATTAATATCAAATGTAAGATAAAATAACAAGCAAAAACGTATGTGTATGATCAACTGTAATTATTTTCTATTGGCACGTTGTTCATTTGTTTTTGCACAATTACAGATTGCAGATTAATTTTTTTGATATAAAGTCGAATTTGTCATTTTTGGTATAAAAATTGTTTAATATGTATATAGCACTTTTTCTCAGGTTTCGTATGTTTCATTACATACTATAAAAATATATTTTTAAAAATTGATTACAAAAAAATAACTTTTGCTACTAACAGGTATTAATTTAAAATAATAATTTAGAAAGAAATTGCTGATGGAACGTCTATTATTACTTAAAAGAGTTTTTACTTAAAAAATTCTACATTTGTGCAATGTTTCAAGTAGTTCCGATACACCATCTACAAAAAAATGGCTACTAATAAAATGCTAAGTATTAAAATAAGATTTGCTTGGTAAAAAATAATAATGCTAAGAATCAAACACTAAATAAGTAAAATAGTTATTCTAAATGCTAGGTAAAATAATCTAAATGCGAAGAATTAAAATAAGATTTGCTATGTGTAAAAAAAGTGGAACAAATTTTTATCTTTTAAGGCATTAAGCACTTAAAATCATTCACATTATTAAGTATGGTGACACTTCTAAACAACTACCTACAATAAGTATACATTTTTTATATTGCTACTGCAATAAAAACCCATCATTTTCTAGGTTAAAGAACTGTTCATGCCTGTTTTCACTATTTGCCAGCAATTGCAACAATTTGTTTTTTGGAAATTTACTTTTGTTTTTGTTTAGTAATAGTTTTTTTATAATAAAACTTTAATATCTTTACCTAGCGTTTAGTATTTTTATCTAGCGTTCAGTATTTTTACTTAGCGCTTAGTATTTTTACTTAGCATTTAGAATATTCACCTAGCGTTTATTATTTTTACTGAGCAAATGTACTTAGCATTTAGTTTAATAATTTAGCGTTAAGTTTTTCCCCAATTTCTATAACTTAATAAACTACATAAACTTCTCATTTATAATTGTGTGATAAAGAGCGTTTTTGGGATATATGAGAACATTTAAGGTGAGTTTGAATTAAATGTTTAATTAAGAATTAAACTAATTCGAATTCACTTGTCTTTTACTTATTCATTTTCAATTGAAAAACATCAAATTAATCATAAATTAAAATGTAATTGCACTCTAATTCTACTTCATGATTCATTCACAAAATATGTCAGATTTTAGTTGAATAATTATGGTATCTAATTTTTTTTATAGATCTTCTTGATGAATGAGTTTTGTAACAAAATTATGAAAATGTTGTGTTCAATCTAAAATACACATATTTTTTTCTTTAATTAATTTAACGAACTAAGAAACAGAAAATATTTCGTCATAATTGAACAGCAGCCAGACAAATATTTCTACTTAGATACAGGCATTTGTTAAAAATAAAATTAGTATAGAATCTTATAAGCCTTTATTTCTCAGTTGAATACAAAATGAGTTACAATAGTCTTCGTTTTATGGGTCGATTTAACAATTCAAGTAAATGACAATTAGTTTAATTTCGGTAAATCGGCCCTATAAATTAAAATTTCATAACGTTGTTTTTCGTCATATTTTAATTGTACTTAAATATATTTTAAATAAATGTTGCTGTTTGGCTCAAAACGGTTAAAATTTTGGTATAAAAGTAAATATTGTTATGCAGATCTTTTTAATATACGGTGTTCTAATGAAAACGAGCCACCCCGAATATCTCAGAAACTAAAAAGACGTTGCAAAAACGCCGAAATAGGTCGATTTTGTTTCTGATCCAGAAAGAATTTGCAAAAAAAAACGAAACAAGTTAATTTTGTTTTTAAAAAAGACAATTTTAAAAGCACCCCTTTTAACTTTTCCCACCTCAATTTCGAAATTTTAAATAGCACCGACTCACTTGCGACAGATCAAATAAAAGTGTTTTTAAAATGTTCTTTGAACCTCTTTTCTAAAGTTGAATGGGATTATCTATTCATAAAATATTCGCAATTCTAATTAGTAATTACTTCTAATAAAAAATATTAAAATAAATTACAAGAAACATACTAATATTGTTATAAGTATTATTGAAGCTCTAACAAACTTATTTTTATTTCCTTATTTTATTGTCAAAATAATCGGACTAAAGGAAAGGGGGTACTAACGTTTCTTTTAATTTAATGTAAGTATCTAAAAAATAGCAATATAGTTCTTAAGTTCCTTTTGTACATACTGACTGCTGACAGATTAGTTTTTTGCCGATATTTTATGAATGTATAAAAATCATTTCATTTTGGAAAAAAGCTTTTAAAGAGCGTTTTAAAAGTGTTTTTATTTTTTGTATCACTAGTGGTTGGTGCTATTTGACATTTTAGAGTTAAGTGGCATAGAGGTTAAAAGGTTAGTGAATGTGCTTTTAAAATTACGTCAAAAAATGTCCCTTTTAAAATCAAAATTAACCGGTTTCGGTTTTTTTTTGCATTTTTTTTCTAAAATAGTACCTTTCTATTAGAACAACCTGTATCTCATGAACGGATGGTCTGATTCAATTTTGGTAAAAAGTTTTGAAAACCTTGCTAAAATAGCTTTCATGTGCCACAAGTAGGGTAGTGCCATTTAAATTTTTAAAGTTGGTGTGCGTGGGGGTTAAGGGGTTACTGAGGGTGCTTTAAAAATTACGTCAAAAAATGTCCCCCTCGGAAACAAAATTGCCCTGTTTCGGCGTTTTTACAAAGTCTTTTTAGTTTCTGAGATATTCGGGGTGACTGGTTTTCATTAAAACACCCTGTATTTAATTTAAATTTAAATTTAATACCAAATAAAATGCACTGACTTTTGTATTTGTTATATGTACTTTATTTTACTCATAAACAATAAAAAAAATATTTTATCCACAATCACTCTAGAAAGAGACTTTATTCCACACTTTAGATGCGTATAAACTACCATTTTATCTACAAGTGGAATAAAGTAACTTTATACCACTGTTAGTAACCAGCGCACCGCGTAACAGCTTACTACGTTTAACCGAAAGCACATTTGGCGTGACGTTTAAATGTCAGTTTAATTTTTAATTAAGTTTGGAATAATTTGGGCCTGATGTGATTGTGGATAAAACGTTATATTGCAATCGTGTGTTAGTCGCGTTTTATCCACTTAAGAAAATTAAATTAAAGTGTGGATAAAACGCTACCTAACACACTCTTACAATAAATAACTATTGTTACTTGCTGACTATTGTTTATTGCTTTTGTATGATTTTGAAATGTTAAATTTGATATTTGATGTACCACTTTTTTATCTCAGATGGTGGCTCGCTGAACGGTGATGACTCGAATTTTTGGTCAAGCAGCCCCCGATCAGACTCACCATCACCAACAAATAATGTTCAAAATCCCTTGGTTGGTTCTTATTCTTATTTTGCTGGAACATCTAACAAAGTGTCTTCTCAGCAACGACTATCTCACTATAGAAATAGTAAGTATAATTATATATAATTATACCTAAATTGAGCAAATATGTCCCAATTTCTTTTCATAATTGTTTTTATTACTTATTTAATTTTGTAATTCATACATGTAGTTACAAAATACATCAAATGTTTTAAGTTTTATTAATTTAAAAAGTAAAATTTTGACAAAACAAGAATTATCAAGCCGCCATTTTCAATTTAAGCCTATACTCCTAATACCTGTGTAGCTGATGAGACCTTGCAACACGTTCAAGTTCCTTTTGTAAGGGTGGTAAAACGGAGAACAACGGCAAATAAGAAAGAACGTCGCCGTACGCAATCCATCAATAACGCTTACGCCGATTTACGTGACTGCATTCCAAATGTTCCACCAGATACCAAATTATCTAAAGTAACGTCTCCAATTCTAGTTTTTGTTTAAGAATTAAGTTTCTTCATTCCAGATTAAAACATTAAGATTAGCTACTTCCTATATTAATTACCTTGTAAAAGCTCTGGAATCAGATGATCCAGCGCCCGGAAGTTTTACAGCAGAATTAGGTACAATGAGTAAAAAATCAACAAATAATACCGTTAATGAATGCACAAATGAACAAATCTCATCAAAAGGCGATATTGGGGTAAGTAATTGTGTTATGTGATTAAATTTCTGACTTATTGACAGTAAATAAACCTTAATTAGATCAGTATAACTGAATGTCAAGCAGGGAACTGCACCCTTCTTTTACCATAGAAAAATCATTTATTCTATTAAGTTAACTGCAAGTTTGGCGCTTCTGCATTTCACTGAAATTTATCAGAAGGGTGGACGCCCAAATAGATCATTATGTCACATTATAATAAAATATCACCGCAATACAATTTTTCACTCGTTAGATGTATTTAGAAAGAAATTCTTTTGTTTGTACAACAGATAAATGAATGAGCATCATTAATTACAAAACAAAATTAGTAGTTTTTCTTATGAGATTTTATTTATTGTTGAACGATTGACCACTCCTTTTTCGTATTGGTATTTAAATCTAAATTCTTATCTGAAATTGCTGATCTTATTTAGATGACAGTTTATTTATTTATTTATTTCATTATGAAATGCTACATTACAAAAATGTCCCATTATAATTTTGTTGAAAGAGATGTTTATAATACGATTGTAAACAGGAAGATATGATCAAGACGAGAAAGGCAAAAGGGCGAACAGGTTGGCCCCAGCACGTGTGGGCCCTGGAGTTGGAGCAAGAACAAGCGCTGTAACGGGGTAACGGGATGTATGTTCATGTGCTTTATAACCTGGAAGTGTATCTTAAAAGTCATTTCATTTGTAGAAATTTCCTGAAATTGTATATAATATATCTATTTTAGTCTACCGCGGCCACATGGCCCCTAGTGTATACAGACACATTCACCTACACCTTAGGAATTATATACATATATAATATAATTATCCAGTTTATTATTAGACATTTACATTTCACGAATGTTTTTTTTTTGTTGTGATTGTTGTTATTTATACCCTTATACAAATAATAGAATTTCAATAAAACATTTTCACCGACTGATTTTTTTATTTAGAAAAGTCTCAGTGATTCACACAAAACAATATAAACCTGTTGCAAAAAAACATAAAAAGGCTTAAAACATTAACATTTCTTTGTGATTTTTTTTATATCAATTATTAAATAATACATGAATACACATGTATTCATAATATCACTTTAGATTTTGAAATTTAACACCGCTTTGAATATATTCAATGTCTATCTTTGTTTGAATGATTAAATGAGCGTTAAAGCATCAGCGTAGGCGTAACTTGGTCAAATTACTGACAGGGATGAAGTATCTTGTGGCAAATTAGCTACCAGTTGTTAAGTTAGACACATGTAGGAAACCAACACCTATTCGTCGAGTTTTAAATGGATTTAGTACTTTTTTTCAAAGCATGAAAATAGTAAAATTTATTTTTTTAGTTAAACAATTAACTATAAAATAAATTTAATTTGATGGTCTTGGCTCAAAAATTATTACAAAAAGATAGTTTGATACATTGTATTAAGAAAATATTTGTAATTTTAAATATTAAACAAAAATAAATTAAAAGTTCTAAAAAGCAATTATTACTATTTTTAACATTAAATTATTGTTACAAAACGATGTTAAACATTATAAATACATATAAAAAATGCGTAAAAGAGGTAAAAATAAATAATATTTCTTTTTGGGTAAGTATAAGACAAAGACAATTTTTATTAAAAAACATTTATTTGATACAGATCATTTTAAATTTTTATTTATCCATGGCAAAAACTTTTCCACTCGGGTGTATACTCCTGGATATTGTCCTTTACCACATCCTATGCCCCAAGAAACGATTCCAACTTGAGTCCACTTTCCAGAATTAACCATCAGAGGACCTCCGCTATCACCCTTTAAAATATATATTGAAAAAAGCTCATTAACAGCGAAAAAGTCTACTTACACTGCAAGAATCTCTGGCAGCTTGTCCTGCACATAACATGTGGTCCACAATTCCTCCTGGTGCAGCAGGACCATATTTAAGTTTGCAATCTCTATTACTCCAGATGGGAATATTTACTTCTTGTAATACAGAAGGTTGTGGTCCACTTTCCCTGAGACTTCCCCATCCTATAACCGTTCCTGTGTGTCCTGCAAAATCGTTACCTACTGTTGGTAAACAAATTGGCCTTATTTGTTGGGAGAACTGAACTGGACTATCTAATGTCAAAATAGCAATATCGTTGTACTAAAAAATGAGATGCTTTTTTAATATTCGAAAACAGTGATTTGGTACCAATGTCCGAGGATCGAAGCCCCTGTGCCTCACAATCCTTTTGACTCTCTTTTCAATATGTCTGATTTCAGTATTGGTTTTAATATTGTGGTCTCCCAGTCTAACTGTTAATCTTGCAACGTCCCAAGAACTCATGCTAAAATAAACGGTGTTTACTTAAAAAAAAACTTTTATGGAATTTCATTACTGGGCTACGCAATGAGCTGCTGATAATATGTGGATATTATCAATCAAAGAGCCTCCACAAAACTGTCTTCCTCCGTTAAAAAGTGCGGCAATCCAAGGCCATTCACCGACGTCCGCGTTATGTCCACCCACAATCCGTTCTTGATCTTGGTACCCATTTTTAGCCCCACAAGAAGACACCGCTGGTGCCTGCGTCGCTGGCGGTTTGGTCGTGGGTCTTGTGGGTTTATATGGAGGCTTGGTTGTTATTGCCGGTGGCCATGCTGGCGGCTTTTGGGTGACAGGGGGCAAAGTCGGATATCCGGGAGATGGAGGATGGGTTGGCAGAGGTGGGTAGCCCGGAGATGGAGGATGGGTCGGCAACGGCGGAATTGTATGATCTGGAGGATGGGTTGGGATTGGTGGCGGCCAGTTGGTCAACTGTGGGTAATACGGAATGGCCTCATTAATTGTAGTATTTGAGTTGGTAAGAGCATTATTGAAGGTTTCATTCGATTCAGTTGCTGGTTTGACTGGGTTGGCGCAGCAGACCCCAAACATCTGAAAGTGTTTGTTTTATGATTCTATAGCAACTTGTTTAATTGTGTGAACTTGATTTTCTTATAAAAAATGAGCAATTAAGGAATTAATTAAAAAATGGTTTTACCTGTCTACCTTGTGCAGTATAATAACTGCAAGTATCGTACATTCCTAAAATCCAACTTTCAAAATTGTCTAATACTGGAACTTTGAAGTAGGGATAACATTGCCGAAATGAAGTGCATTTCCCTAGGACTCCTTTTCCAGTAAAACAAGGGCCTGTTGTTGCCAGAGGCACTGTATTAATGTTAGAAGGAATTAAACCTGGATTGTATTGATATGCTGTTTCTTTTAAAATAAACTGAGTGTCGCTTCTTTTGGGTTGTCTCTCTAATTTAGCTGAAACACGTCAATACGATTAGTATTAAAAAAGTGCCACGACAACAAAACACAGTAAAAGATTATCCCAAATATTAAATCAATACAATAAATCAAAAATTTTACAAATTACAATACATATGGTAATTAGCATAGAATTAGTTTTTTTGTTTTCAATATTAATACATAAATATATTGTCTGCCGATGGAGCGTACCAGTCAATCCAGTTTTCAGACAAAACAAAATTCCACTATTTATTATACCCCAGGACTGGCGAAAAAACGTTAAAAAGAATACGATAGGTCAAAATAATACTTTTCAGTTCATGTTTGCGTACTTGATTTATATTTTTATAGTCGTCCATTTAAATAATAGGTAATTAATTATTAATGCAGTGACTCATAATGAATACAATAAACATTGGTATGAATTTCGTGTACTCAAATTTTTTTGACAACGGTTTTACGGCGTTTACAAAAAAAATCAGATACAATTTTTTTTCAATTTAAACCAATTAAAAAACCGGCTTCATCAATGAGCAATTAGAAACACATTATAATCTTTGAAAAGTTTGAAGAAGCATATCAATACTGTGGTCCCAAGGTGAACGTTCTTCACGACCTTGGCAGTGGCTGATTGCGGGTGCCACGCTAGCAGGTGGTGTTAAAAATTTTCTTAAACAGATTCAAATGTTAAAACAATTTAATAATTTAAAAAAAAAAATATATACTTAATTTAAATTAAAACACTAATGGACAAAATAAATAAATTTTGCTCCAAAATATACGATTGCAAAAAAACACAAAAATGTTTACTAAAATATATAAATAAATAGGTGTATAAATAAATAAACTAGTATATTAACCATCAGTCTATTGAATCAGCAAATGATAATAAAAATAAAAAGATTATAGTTCGGGTAAAATTAGTTAAATAAAAACTCTTTTTCGTCAATGAATTTAATTTTTCTTAAAAAAAAATGTAAATTTGTATCAATTTGCATACCTTCAATCACAATTGCATCTGATGTTTCTTGATGTTGCTGAGCGACAAAAGGTGAGAAACCGAACACAACAATCAATAAACACCAATAAAATAATTGATAAATTATCCCCATTGCGTGGTGATGATACGTTACTGTCTCACATTGATCCCGCAATGTTTCTACTCTATAAAATAAGTTGCTCTTATAAACCACGTTTTATGATGCATCTTTCCCCACCACTTTACTGTTGAGGCTTAATAATTTGCAGAATCTAGTATATTTATTTAAATATGTTTTTGTAAACTTGAAAAATACTGATCAATAGAGAAGCATGAAGAATATTTTGATTGTTGATTATTGAACTACCAGTCTACATGGCATTTAATTATACCTATTTGTAAGTGGGTACCTATAACGGGACATGTTTCTTTATAATTTGCAAGAATTTACATAGGTGGAGAACTCTTATTTTTACCATCATGATAACAATTTTTAAGTAGATTAGAATGTAGTGACTAATCCAAATTTACTAACTGTAAAAAAATAATTTTTCAGAGTCACTATTATACTGTGGTTATTGAACGCATTGTCAAAACTGTTCTGAAGAAACCGACAGGATTATTGAACTTAAAAGTGGTCTATGAATTGATTAAAAACTCGCTCTAGATCTTAATAATTCGTCACCATATTAATATGAATAACTTACGTGTGAGTTGGCGACCAACTATGTAAGGAAAATGTAAAAATACAATATGTACTAAGAAGTTAAATTTAATTTTTTTGATTTTTTTAATACAAGCACTTACTAGAAAATCTTATTAATTTACCTTAAAATTATAAAAATTAAAAAACAGCCATCTTTTTTACATTAAATAAAATAGAAGACCAGATGCAGTTTTTTATTGTGTAGATATATAAAAAAAATAATTAAATTTACTGAAATTTTGTGATATGAGCAGTAATTATCATTATTTCTTACAAATTATACGTAATACCAAAATAATTTACTGTATGCAACCACTTATACTGTTCAACAAAATTTGATTATAATTTCCAAGTCAGCATTTGTAAATTTTTGGTTGCCTACTCTTTAGGCGTTACTAGACTAACCCCAACGTATGGTGAACTTGCAAATTATAATTTTGAAAAAACTAACAAACTTGATTTATTTAAGGCGTCTGCATAAGAAGAATAAAAATAAAGAAATATAAAGACGTTTATTAAAAAGGCTCAGGAATTTATTCCAATAAAGTTTATTATTAGTTCTGTCGTTACTAGTTTTTAATTCTAATATTCCTTACAAGAGCAGACGAAAAATAGAACAAAATATAAATTTTGTTTTTTTTTAAGTAGTTGGCAGATTCCTACTCTCTAACCCTTATCAACCGCAGTCGATTTGCTTTCCTTTACGTTTTCGTTCTCAGATGGCGCGGTGTACTAAGGCTAGACATTTAGTAGAGTTATCGACAAACGATTTTAACTTTTTAGATCAAAATTTACTTCTTATTAAATTTTAGTAATGGATCTGGATCTGCAGATGCGGCGCGGCGCATGCAAAATTAAAAATTCTACTTTTTTTTTTAAATTAAAAATTATTCAATCGCGATAGAAATATTTTACATATTGTTTATTAATTATAATTAGAAATGTCTCTTAATCATAATTAAGAAAACGTTTCACAAAGTTTTGATAAACACGTATGAAGCCTCCAGTAAATTAATTAGAATCTCTAATCTAACAAAAAAACAATCGTAAAAGTTATCTCATTTATCTTTGCTAATTACAGAATTCATTTGATGTGGTACAATAAACAAAAAGCCAAATTTAAATCTGATTCTCGGCAACTGCTTCTTATGTATTCAAGTATTAAAGATCTATTGTTCAGAATTATTCTTATTTTGTACTTTATGATATAAAAGACGTTCAACGAATTACCCAGTACTGTCTTTTTCTTTTTTAAAGCAAATTTTCATTTAAATAGATTTTCTAAAACCAGAACATCGTTTTAAAAGTAAAAGCGATATTTTTGTGACAGGTTTGTAGGGTTTGCTGAAACATCTACTGCCACAAAAATCGCTTAGCTTCGAATCAAACAAAGTAATGTTTTTTCCAACTTCGCAAATTGGTCAGTTTCCCTTTCTTTCCCTTTTCTTTTTATTAATCTTAAAAATTATTATTATTATTTTACAACATTTTTCCAGGTTATTCTTATTAAAATTGAATTTGCGGCGGCAAATGATTTGGTTAAAACAAAGTGGGCGTTTTGATCGCAATGTACGATGAATAAGTCATTAAATATTAAAGTACGAAGTAGAAACTTACCTTAAAGTAAAGTTACACGTATATAAATTATTTATAATAAATAATTGTGTTCTGTTAAAAGAAAGAATTTGCCTGGATTTGACGTCTAAACGTCACTTTTACTCCTAGGTCCAAAAGTAATTTCTATTAAGTATAAGTCCGATTAGTCAAATATTACAGTGCAAATGATATGAATAACGTAATGAGTAGGTACTGTAAGAGGTTTACGAGATGATATCGTAATAGCTATTAACATACCAATTTATGTTATGAATATTATGACTATCATAACTGCCGTAGATGTCGGTTTCTAATTAGAACTCGTAGAGCGATCATTTGAACACATCTAAGATTGTTATGGTTCATAACACCCGTGATTTGTTTGTTGTTAGTAAAATAAAATAATTACATTTAAAAATATGTTTTTAAAAAGATTGAGTTCATTGCGTTTGCATAATACGTTAAAGTAACAGTTTGTAGTTTAGATCAATAAAAATCTAGAAAAATGAGCTCGAACAATAATGTTTTACTAGAAAATGTCTGTAAAGAAAAATCAAGTCTTAAATGTTTTAATCTCGGAAAAATCAAAAGTCAGTTCAAATCACACGACAAATTTGTAGTTGTAAATAGTTAAATTTGCAGATCGGTGGATTAAATTGAGTTATCGGTAGTGTTATATATTACAACAGCACAGATTTATGCCATATTTACCAGCCTATTTTTGTGAATGTAACGTATAGGTTTTAACAGATAGAAACCGCAAATATGTTTTATTTTATAATGTATAAAAAAATAGTTTGACTTAATATTGTGTTAAAAATATCAACTCAGTAAATGTTGCGGCTTGTTACCGGGTTTGATATCCGTAACAAGTCTCTTTCTGGACTCAAAATAATGGAGTCTGGAAGCTTAATTTTTTTTTAATATTGGACAATATAAAATAAAAAAAATTTTAAAACTAAGAAAAAGTAAACCTTTAACTTCATTAATCTAGTCACAAAATGTCACTTTTTTATGTTTGATGATAAAACATAAACTAGTCAAAAAATGAAAAAAGAGCCCACTTCTTTATTTTATTAAATTTTCTTTGTTACATTAAATAAGGTTGGCAATCACCCAGTAATATAAAAATGAAACATACAATACAACAAAATTTATTAAAGTACAATCTAAAATAAATATAATATGTATGTATAAACAAGAATTTTAATTAAAAAATTATTTCTTCCAAAAAAAAAAAAACATTCAGAGTTTTAGAAGTGGCTCCTTTTTGTTTTGACTAGCTTATTATGAGATTATGACATAAACCTTATTCTATCGGAACTCTACTCTTGAAACACAAATTTCACTAATTTCCACAAAATGTGAATCTTATTAGTTACATATTAGTGCTGTATAATTTGGCCGACCAAACCGGCTATAAAATTTAACCAGGTAAATTAGTTCATCAACCAACTAGTTAATCCAAATTAATCGGTTAAATCAATTAACTAGGTAAACGGTTACTAATTAACCAGTTACATGGTTAATCGGTTAAACAATAAATTTATATTTTCCCATATACATATACAGGGTGCGCCAGAACTCGCGCCCCAGAGTAAAATATCATATAAGGTAAGATACCAGGAACATGGAAAAAATGTTAAAAAAAAATTATCTATAAAAATTTCGTAGTTATGAGGGTTTAAAGTTTGCACTTTGACTCTATTTATTTCTGTTGGAAAAATAATTTTCCAAGTTTTTTTGCTATAGGCTATTAAAAGAGGAAACAAGGAAGCTGTATCCTAAATTGTAACTCTGTTTTATGTTATTTGTGGCTTTTATTGACAAAATTTTGTCCCTTTACTAAATAATTGTAAAAAAACATATACAAGATCATCAGTATCATTAAATAGATATAAAAAAATGTCAAATGTCAAACATTTTTTTCATGTTCCTGGTATCTTACCTTACTTGAAAATTTTCTCTGGGGCGCGAGTTCTGGCGCACTCTGTATAAAGTAGAAATTAACGTAAATATATTATTTAATAATAATTAACCGTTTAACTAATTTAACCGATTAACTAGTTAATTGATTTAACCGGTCAATTTGGATTAACTAGTTGGTTAATTGGTTGGTTAATTAACTTAGTTAAATTTTATGGCTGGTTTGGTCGGTCAAATTGTACAGCATTAGTACATATACTACATTTAAAATAAATATTTTTTCAAGTTTAGAAGGTACTCGTAGTACAAAACTTTATAATTCTTTCTGACTTTTATATAATCTTATCTTATTAATATAATTTCTGAATTTTATTTAATAATATTTAATTTAATAAAACGGCTTGTAAATAAAAAAGAAATAACAAGTTTTAATAAAAATGTATGAAAGACATATAACCAACATTCATTTTATACATAAAAACTAATAACAAATTTTAATTAACTTTACTATACATTGGAATGAAGCACTAAAAGTGAGAAATCTTTAATCGTTGGTTATGATTTTTCACACAAACTACAGAATTTCAATACATTTACAAAAAATGTGTACATTGTTGGCTTTTAGTTAAAAATAAACTTCAGCAAAAAATCAATAAAATAAATTAGAAAATTGACATGTTTTAGCTTTTACATTTTATCGTAAAATTAATACTTGGACAGAACACCACACATGTAAAATTATACCAATAAATAGTTTGAAATACGGTTTTGCATTTGACCCTTCAGTAATTGTTTAAACAGAATACGAGTAATAGAAACATGGTGTTTGTTAAAAATAAAGAAATATTTTTGTTGATAATATTACTGACCCGGCGCATCCACCATTTTTAAAACTGTATACTCATTGCGTGCTAAGCTTCTACAAAATTTTATTAATGGTTTTTCAATTTTTTTTTAATGTTTTCTAGCAATAAAAAACTTATCATAACCTAATAATAAATTTTTGATCTACAATTTGGTTTCGTGACTAAATCTAATGATACCCGGAAAAGTATTGAAGTTTGTAAGAAATGATACGATATTCGTTCAAATCAATTTTCGTTGAATTTCAAATTTCCGACAATAAAAGAATAGAAATAAAAATTAAAATAAGAAAAAAATTGGCAATTTGTTTCATTCGTATGTTGTAATTTGATTTTTTTTAATTAAGACAAATTGCAACGATTTTAATCGTTGCAAGAAATCGTTATAAGCTGTCCCGTTAATTGTTAACAAAAAAATTAGTCATTTGATAGCAAATCTTTTTGCTCGTTCCGTTTAATTTAAACGAAGCTATGTTAAGGTATTTCCCAATTAAACAAGTTTAATCTTAAGAGTCTGGATGTTTAATAGCAATAATAAATTTGTGAGTTCCCCTAAGAGAATAGTCTGTTCATTGTCAAAAGACCAGATACTTTCTGAACTCTTAATGAACGGTCATCTGAAACATTTTGAATTAAACGAAAATTTATATAAAGCGTTACGACGCAGGATCCGTAACGTTGTTGGCGTCTCGATGTCTGTTCCACTTTTCATTCAGTTTTATTCAACGTGGTGTCGGGGGTGGTAGTGAATTTTAAATGCTAAATACGTGGAACGCGAAGTTTGTTTCTGTCGCGTTTAAAAAAACATTCAGCTTTTCTGCTTCCCGTAAGTCGAATTTTTAGTGAAAATTCAGCCATAAAGTTTTTTCAAGTTTTCAACTTTAGTTTAGTTATGATTTGAACATATTCATTGCATTAGGATGCACGTTTTCTCAAAAAAAAATCTTTGGAACAAGAAATAATTTAGCTATTATGTGATGAAAAGTGAAAAGTTTTTGCTCTATTTATCAGACTCCTTTAAGTTTATTTGGTTTGTTTTTGGACCACTACATTGAATTATCTATTACTTTTAGACAAGTTTAACTAATGGAGGTTGTTCCGGTTAGTTAGGGTCTATCCTCTATCTAAATTAATCACTTTTGATATTTTTAGAACAGATTTTGTTTGTAAATCAAATGATAAAAATAGGAAACGTTGTTTTGATAGAAAAGTACACCTCAGGACATTTTGAAAGTATCTCGTTATATCAAATGCGCTGTCATACCCACAACTCCCTAAGGGAAACTTGTTAATTACAAAAACATAGTATTCTTTCGGTAAAATTACTAAACAGCAGTTCAGTTTTTAATTAGCGGCATCTTGTTAATTAAAATTTCTAATATTAAGAAATATTTTTGCGCCACAGAAAAACAAATGAAATTTTTGGATGTTGCAATGAAATTTTGCGGAAACGAATACTAAGCTGCACGCTTGACGCTCCATTCTGTTTTATTTTGCTGCATTCAAATCACGCAATATAAAAGCTTTCAGCTTATAGAAAAAAGTCAATCTTTTCTATTCAATATTTCGATGATCACCATTTTTTAATTGACGCAGCTTTTACCTTAAAGCAAAATTTTGCACACCTTGTTTGTAATACGAAAAATTTCATAAATCGTTTTGTCAAGCCGCTGAACAAAAGTTTGCCTAAGAGCGACTTTATCCGTTAAGCTGGAAATTGTTTCATTTGGTGGAACATTTAATACAATTCAGTGAATGTTTGAAATTTATTCAGAATTTGGATTTGTAAATAACCTCCAAGATGGAGCAATATTTTGGTTTGCAAAGCTCCCGACTTCCAACTTGGAGCAATTTTTTAATTTTATCGAGACTGTATTAAAAACAACGTATTATGAAAGCTAAAACATGGTCATTATGCGTTGTAAATTTTCACAATTATAATTGTGGCCTAGAAAATCTGGGAATCACCAAATCGATAAAAATGAGTTTGTTCGGACATGAGAAGAAATTTTGTATCTAACGAAATTAGTTTCGGCTAATAAAATGGAAATAGCTTTTTTCAGGTGCTAATTGAAGCGGGTTTATAGTCCACTGTAATATACTGTTTAATGACTACAAGACACTAAAGCTGTATTTTTCCAAATAAATCATAAGAGTTAATAAACGAAGTTAGACAACCGGAAATTACAAGAAAATAGGGATTAGGTCGTAAGCACAACTAATTGCCTGCAGTGTAATAAAATAATAAATAATAAAAAAACCAATTTAGTAAAAACCATTTTGCTTTAGTTAAAAAAAATTGCTAAAATTTATGCCTACTGTGCTTAATTATTATTTGTGCTTGACAATAAAATAAATTAAGATTTTCTTATCGTAGGCGATATAAAAACTGCGTAAAACGTCATATTTACATACAAAATGATTTGCTTAATATTGTTTGTGTGTGTGTTTGAATCAACAAAAAACTCGGCTTAAACAAATCCGACTACAAGGAAAGTCCCTCAGTGGATGAATTCAGTAGAAGCTTCTAACAAGTAGGGCGATTACCTAGCTGTTATATTGCACCTTAATGTAAGAGAGTCGTTAATTATGCTATCCTCAGTGTTTACCCGAGAGAACCGTAAAAAGGGAATGTTGAGAAGGCGGGACTTTGTAAATTTACAAGCACTTTATGTTGGAAGTGTGTAGTCGATTTATTAATTTGGTGTTTTTTTAAGTGATACAGAAGAAAAAAACAAATTTAATCAATACATTTGGGGTAAAAAGCTGGCAAATGGATGGGCTACATATCACACGAACTGTTCAAATTCACCGGATTGAAAACTCGAATGATTTTAAAGTATTTTATAATTTGGGGCAAGTCGACTTCAAGAGAAGCGGCGGAGATTCTATTTGTTTTTCCAGCGATTAACAACTTTCAAATACTTGCAAAACATGCACAAAGGGTAAAGCATGCTTTGAATCTAAAAATTTAAATCGAGACATTTGTGCAACGCCCATTCACTAAAAATGTATTATCCCCGTGT